TCCCACTTTGTCTCCCGCTCTTTCACAAACACGCACAGGGACGGGCGCGCACACCCCACTCAATCATCCGCACACAAACACACAAATGCGGACACTCATGCCCCCCCCTCTCTCCTGCCCTCCCTCTTATCCGCAGTGTATATAAAAGCTGTATCGAATTGCACCTTGAGCTTAATTGGCTCGGCAGTACAGTGCGCCGCTGTCGACAGTGACAAATCGTTCTTTCAGAGCCCCGGAGAATGTCTGCCCACTGCCATGTCAGAGGACACAGGAGGAGAAAAAAAGTTAATTGTCCCCTGGCCGGCGTTCAAACGATGTCGTAACTGCAAAGAAATTCGTAGGAGATGCAGTTCGGAGCTTTGAGGGTTTATTTATTTGCCTCGCTCCTCTGTTTAAGATGGTGCCTGGCAGCGTAGGGGCCCGAGGGCACTAGACTTTTGGGAGAAAGGGCCCCATTCTCTGTGTTTCTACTCAAGCATAGCCGGGCGAAGCCTTCGCTGGTCGCTCTGATCGCACAGTGGCTCAGATCAGGCACTTCCTCCCACTCCCATAAGGGAGAACAGCACACAGATCAGATGGGACAGCTAATTCAATTAGTAGCAATCTGTTATTTTTAGGAGCTCAGATGTGACAGCGTGCATGAGTGCGTGAATGTATACGTGCACGGACGCCAGGACTGTGTGGGAGGAGGGAGGTATGTCAGAAATCCACTCGCGGTGTTTGTGGAGGTTCTCTGCATCTGGCTTGACAGGGGACAGCTCGGCTCATAGCTGGCGTTCCTAACTATAGTGCTCCTTTATTACTGATATCCTCCTGGCCTCTCTCATAACTCAGCCTCTTTATATCAGCATTTTTTTTTTTTTTGCCAGACGCATGTCGCACACACACACACACACACAGGGAGGAGGATCTGCTCAGCGTCAGTATGCGAACAGCTGTGGATGCAGAGCAGTAAGACGGCAGTAAGTAAGAGCAGAGCAGCAGGTGAGCGTGAAGTCACTGCAGAACAGATGGAGGAGCGAAACGGGGAAAAAAGGGATTATCATTATGGAAAACTCGCTCACTTTTTTGAAACTTTTATTTATGTAACTGTAGCCTTCTCCAGGTCATTATTCAACAGAAGCACGGTGTCGCTAACCCCTGAACTGCCCCAGTGGAACAAATGAGTTAACTGCCTCGCTTGCTCCAGGGCATCTTTACAGTAGCTACAGAGCAAGAGGTGAAAGTTAAAAAAAAAAAATAATAGTCCGCTTTCGGTGGATAGTATCACCAGCATGCCCACACAGGTGTAATTTTCTCCACGCCGCCCCTGATGTCGTTTACACCTCGCCACAGACCATGTATGATTAATGATATAATGAAAACAAAAAGTTGTTATCCACAAAAATAAGTAATAGCTGCATGTGGGAGGAATTGAATTAATGCCTCCTGACAGTGCTGCGGCAGGACTTTGGAGGAAATTAAGGTCTCTGAATGCTGCAATTGTTTGTGCTTTTAGACATTTGTAAAGGGATACGTTCAATTTATCACAGACTCAGAAGTTGAGGTTTTACATTAGATCAAGAGGACATATTTTGTGCTCACAAAGGCTGTCATATGTGATTATATAGATTCTGTTTGAGGATTAATTCTGCTTTTTTTCCACTTATTTACTACACGCTTGTTTTCCAAACCGCTCGGCGCTCAATCGCTTGCACATGCAGCAAGTAGGAGCTCACAGTTCTCTTGAAGATTAAGAAAAAAAAACATCTCTGGAAGAAAATGGAGAAAAAGAATGTTACTGTAGGAGAATGTAGTTTTTGTTTGAGAAGCACTCGGTCCAGAGTTTTAAAAAAAAATCTCTAAAGCTGATAATTAACATAAATAACACAAAGCAAAATGTAAAAATGTCAAGTTGTGGTTTTTGCAGGGAGCTACGTGCTGAAAGTATTTCTTGGCAAACGGCACAAAATTAGCTTTAGAGTCAGAGTTTTCCACAAAGACGAGGGGCAGCCAGCCGCCCGGGGTAGCCAGCTATGGTGATGTAGGTTCATGCCCCCTAAAGAACAACTCTGGCCAGAAAAACGTTAATTTTCTGGCCTCTGGCACGTTCTAATATTTCTATTCCAACATATACACCAACGTTAATTTTTGCGTAGTTTATTAAGGTTGCGGCCCCTTTTGAAGTATTGTAGAGGAGAATATGAGACTTTGTGTGCACTTTATCCCCCACAGTCTGTTAATAGGTATTTATGTTTAGAACCATTGCAGCTCCTGAATGGTCACAACTTTAGGAGCTGAGAATCATTAAATCTCATTTATTATTTATTCATTTATGGAGATTTTTTTTATCCTAAATGCAGGACATGAATTTGGAGTTTAAAGGTTTCATTGTCTTAGTAGTGAAGCAAGGAGGGGAATCCAGGACAGGTGGAGGTGTCTGTCTGTCTGTCTGTCTGACTGACTGACTGACTGAGGAGGTTGTACGTGGCAGTTGCTGGCTGGAGCTGGGTTGTGGCAACACGCTGGCAAGGAGACAACTGGAGACGACTGGAACCTGAAACACAAGAAAGTCTGCGTCAGACGGAGCGAAAACACCGGGAAGCGAAACTATAAACAGAGTTCAGCTGAGGATCCTACCGAAGGAGCAGGCAAAACAATCTGGCAACGACCGGAGTGACAAGCTGAGGTTTATGATTAGTGGATGAATCTCCGGTGGGTGAGGTGATTTCCAACGAAGATGAGCAGCTGGCCACACCCAGGCGAAGGCCTCAGCCATAAAAATCTGGATATTTGGCAAAACTAACATTTTCCTCCACCTTTGGGCCTCGCGTTCATGTGCAAATGCTGTTTTAGGTCTTAAAACACCTTCTGAAGTTAAGATTTTTTTTAAACTCTGGTTTATGTGAAATTTCTTGCAGATTTTTAAAAAAACGCATGGTGTTGCTTTGTGGGATGACTGTGTGCTAAAAACAACAACAATATAAGATATATATAATGTAGTTTTTCTGTTTGGTTGGCACTAAGAGTTATAAGTTTACAACCTAACGTGGTTTTCCTGCAACACTTTACTGGCACACTAAACCCTGTCTGTCTGCTGTTATTATCACTTGGTCCGCAGTGTCTTCAGTTTAAACCCAAAACTCGTCGGCAGGTTTAAGGGGCATGTTATCTTTTTAAAAATTCTCCAAAATTACACAATTTTTCAGAGCCAGAAACTGTAAAAACCAAAGACAATCACTGGATTTTTAAGGACTTTCTAAAAGTCCTTGAATGTGTGATGTGTGACCTCCTGGTTCCACTGGAAAAATTAGCCAGAACTAAACCTAACATCATGATATTTATCAAAATAATACTTTCTTTTTCAAAAAATAGCAAAAAATCAATTTGCACTACATCCTGTAAAAAACTAAATTGTGCGTTCCTGATGTGCCAAAAACGTAGAGTTTTTGGGTGAACTACAGGCTGAGTTTATATACATTCAACATGGTGACACATCTTTTTAAAGTCGATTTGCAAAATAGTGTGTAAAAAAAAAAACTACTTTGTAGATGTTATAAAAATTCAACGAGTAAAATATCTATAGTATGAGTAAAGAGTGTCCATTTATTTCCAGTATTGGAAGCACCACTTGCAAAACTGTGGCTCATGTTGATTTCTGATTTTTTTTTTCAATTTTTGTAAAGCAAATAATTAAAGAAATTCAACTTAAGTTTTTTTCTTTTTTATTATTTGTGGCATTATATCTTTGTCATACTGCATAAAATACATTTCTGAGTTCTCTCTCCTTCTGGCCGTGGTTGTTCTGTTTCTATAGAGGTGCAGGACTTTATATTACAGTGAGAAGTGACGAATGCCCAGAACCTGCTCAGGCTTCAGAGGGTTAATATATGTTGTAATGACAGTCTCCTTAGTTATTTGCTGTATTGTTGAATTAGACTGGCCCAGAGCGTAAAATAAACAAGGTTATATTAAGGGGGAGCATTTAATCTCACGTCTTATCTCGTCTGTAGATTAGTTTTAAATTAAATTATTTGTAAAATAAACCAATGACTAAATGACTCAATTTCTGCAGTACAATGTGCAGAGTAGATAAAAAATCATTTATTCATTTATTAAACTCTTAAACATATATGTGGCATACATGACATAGCAGCGCTTTCTGTTGAATTTTTAATACTTACTGCAAGTGCTGTTATGTTCTGAGCTTTGGAGAGCGCTGGGCTAGCTGTTTCCCTCTGCCTCCAGTCTGCATGCTAAGCTAAGCTAAGCTAAGCTAAGCTAACCACCGTCCCACTGTATCTCCACAGTTAACATTCACAAAGAGGTTTCCAAAATGTGTAACTGTTCTTTTAACAACAGTTTGGACACGATCTCTCCTCGCAAAGGACTACAAATCCCTTCCTCCCTGCTTCCTAAAACAGGCCCACATTTATCTGTACAATCAAAATAGGATTTTAACTGTCACCATCTTGGATCGTCAGAATTAATTCCATGTCAGCACTCTTCTTTTATAAATAGTTTAAGTGGACTGTGTGTTTCATTTAATTAAACAGCAGGGCTCCGGTTTGAAGGTGAAGTTTATCACATTCAACCACACGCCGGATGACACGCGTCAGTCAAGTGTTCTGGTTGTTCCAGATACCGAGACATGATCTCATGCAGCCTCTGTGGTTTTTTTTATTTTTATTTTTTTGTTTTCCGCATCTCACCACTTAAATCCACATTTCAACACTTGCTCTCGGTAAAATTTATGTCTGCGTGATTCAGCATGTGTCTACAACAATAACACGCAACATCTGGTTATACGAGGCGCTTGGGTTTCTCCCGATGTAACATTGTTTTTACAGCTGTGTAAGACATCATGCGAAAGGAGGACAGACATGTGTTTTTCAGCTCTTGTGACAGCCTTTTTTTTTTTTTTCTAATTGTCTCCATCCTTTTTCCTGCTTCTCTCATATTTTTCATTCCTTCGCCTTCCCTCATTATCTTCTATCCGTCTGCGTCTGCCTCCCTCTCAGACCTCTCCGATAACCTGGCGATGGACGACTTCACCTTCCAGGAGCAGCTGTTAACCCCTCGGCTGGCCACGGCCGGGGTCGGCGGCGTCTCCTCACCTGCGGCCCGGCTGCGGAGGAGCTACCTGGACCCGACCCTCCCCGCGGCGCTCGCTCTGCTCCTGCTCTGCCACCACTGACCCGTGCGACTCTCCCATCACCTCTTTTTTGTTCCTCTGCTGTTCAGACTGTGTGGAATGTGATAAACCTTTCTTGGCTCGACAAAGGAAGCATGAACAACAGGAAAATGCTACGTTTCTCTGTAAGAGCCTGTTTTGTTTTATTCAAAATGAGTGGATGTTCTTAACAAACATATAAAAAACCAACAAAAAAAAAAAAAGAAAGCACACTAGATAGAACCATGGCGTTATGTAAATACAAACTCTCCCACCGGTCCACTCACACAGTTTCGCGCCCTCTCGCCTCACCTCCTCTCATGCTGACTTCTTCTGTCTAAACTGATGGGAGACGCTGTTCTTTATGGACCAGTAACACACAACAGACTGCTTTTTTTTTGTTTTTTTTAAACTCTCAGTCTGTGCTGAGTTATTGCCCTGCAGCAACAAGCAGGAAGAAGAAGTCAGCTGCTGCCATTTTCCTTCATGGCAGCGAATGATCTCCTGCCAGGTCTGGACTTTCGGCAGAGTTTTACTGAGCTCCTCATCCCTGAAGGCTGAAGGTGAATCACTTATTTAAACTGTTTCTCAAAACGCTCTGCTACTACCTAAACCTCCCATCTGTCTCTCTCTCTCTCTCTGGTTGTTTATATCCTAGTGATAGCTAAATTATTTCACTCCCACCATCACTGTTTGTTTTATTTTGTAAAGCTTTTTTTTGAAAGCGGTAACCGCCCCTAAAATGGACAAAAAAAAATAAAAGAGTTCAAGGGCTACCATCAGAGCATAAAGTCTCCAAATGAGCCCCAAACTGTACAAATGTATGTTTCTCTGTGTTGGTGCCATGTTTACAAAAAATATGATTGTTTGCAATATTTGGTTTGTGGACTGAATTATTGGCTGGACTGTGAAGCATTGCTGCAAATTTCGAGCTTATTCTTTAGCACTGTGCATAAAGCGAGCAGTGACATGATGATATAAATATGTATAAAAAAATATGTGTAAATTATTATTTTTTGTTTATGTTGCATTGATTTGACACGTTTGCGATGTCCGGCCTTTTTGGTTTAAAACCAGAAGTCAGATTATTTTTTATTTAAATTCTATTATTGTTTATTTAAATATGTTTGGTTTTCAAAATGAAAAATGGGAGTCCGGCTCCACTTGTTGTTTATTACTGGAGTGTGATGGATGTGTGGAAAGACGCTAATTAAAAGCTCCAGCGGACTCCACAGCTGGGAGCGTTGACTGCGCTCACAGCCGACTGTTCGGCTCGTCGTATCGGGAGAAGCACAGGTGGGACGAGGAACAGCAATGACTAAACGTGCACCTGATGTCAGAAGTTCAGCGTACAGAAGTTGCTGGTGAATATTCTTTTTTTTTTTTGCTTAGGAAGGTTTTTAATCGAGTGAAACGACCCAGAAGTGGCAGCTACGATAAGGCCTGGTGGAATTTTCTGGCCCAATCTCAATCTCTGCACTCCACAGACTCTCAAACTGTCAAGTGCATGCAAGCTTGAGGACTTTTTGATGCCATTTTTCACACCTCCAGAGAAACCTGCCCATAGTTCGTAGTGTAATCGGTGACATATAAACACGGTTGTTCTGCCTCACGCAAAATGTACACAAACCAAGTATGGACGGGTGCAGGGGAGAAGTCTGCCGGTCGGTTTATCTGTAAGTGACAGCGTCTGTTGTGGTTATTTATTACACGCTGGGTGTATTTTCAGTCTGATCTCTGTTTAGGATTTGAAGATGGCTCTCTTGACCTTTGGTAGTTTACTCAAACGTATAAACACTGTACTGTCCAAACAGGTACAGATACGAGCTGGGGAATCTATTTAACTGCCAGTGACCCACAAGTCCAGATTTAAATTCCTCCTTTTATACCTTTTCAGCCTCACAAAAAGCACACATTCAAACAGTACATCTGTGACTCAGTCAAAGCCGGACTCACTACAGGAGTTTCAGGTTGATTTACGTCCTTTTCACTCCTGCTGACATTTAGAGGAGAAATCTGGTCTGAACCGATGTTTGGCACAGATTATCTGCTAATGTGAGGTTTTTACAGATCCAGTGTTAAACCTCTTGAACTGCTCACAGACTTATCTGAGCCTCCCCGATAATATTTAATTCAATTTATGTGGTGAAATCGGGGCGGTTATGATTGTCGCAGAAGCACCTGGAGCGGCGGACGCTGTTGCCAAGCAAAGCTAAACGTTCTCGCCCTTGAGGCTAACGTTAGCTACAGATATTAAAACTGATATTTAACAGTTCAAATCTCACCTCCACTTCTTGCTGAAGAAAAAAAACAACCCATGTTGACCACATCTTCCCAGCCGTTTCTCATCCAGACTCATTTGTGCTTTTGTTGTTTTCTTCTCATTGCAAAAAACATTATTAGCGTTCATAAGAGCTTCAATGAAAGGCAGTTGGACTTCTCATGTTTGCTTCTAGAAGACATTTCCCCTCAGATCCAGGAGGCTTCTTTTAGTTTTATTATTAGCGCTACAGCAAGTTGTTGCACCAAAGCTTCTATTTTGTTTATATCCGTTTCCCCATAAGATGAGGCGGCTCCCTGATTGCTCCCTCTAGCTTTATAATCTTGATAATATCCTGTTGTGTGCAATGTGCCATTACTTTCAAATATTAGACTGTGCATTGAGAATCAGTTTGGATTTTAAAACTCCTGTAGTGTGACGTTTTAGTCTGTGAGGGTTCAGTGCTTAGGTCTTGTAGTGGAGATTGGTATTAGGCCTCTAAATGCTCTGGAAAGGTGCTTTAACACCTCCTTTTTCTTTTTTTTTTTGTCTCCTTTAGCATAGGATACATTAGTCAAGAAAGGAGATAATGCTTTACCATCCATGTCAGTTCCATCCACCGTCATGTGAACTGCATAACGACCACCAAAGTCCTCATGAATTCTCCTTCACGTCTTTTCTCGACCTTGCGACATTTTCCATTAAAGTTTTTATGTGAAGACATTGGATGTAATTTCGTTCGACTAATCATTTCTTAACGAGATGCAGGCCTAATAAAGGTGATCAGCCACACCTGTCATGAAGAAGATCTGTTATGTTCGGGCCAGTGTCACATCTAAGATTGAAGGATAAGAACAATTAATGCACAGTGTTTGTTTTTTTCATTTGATTGTTGTTGGAGAAAGTACAATGTAAAATAAACTAAACATGTTTTACTGTTTTGTGTCTATGGCGATGTGTCTAAATGAAATATTAGCAACATTGTGAACACTTTGAAAAACATGCGAGTGTTTTGAGCCAAGTCATAAAAAAATGGGACGCCAAATTGATATTGAGTGTAGTTTAAAGGAAAGATCTGAGCTGGAGCCGCTCTCACAAGTCTAGCATGTCGGATTTAAAGAGGGGCCTGAGATTAAAGCTTCTGGAACTTGGTTTTATGTTTAACGCTGAATATTCCTGAGTAAATAAGCTGCGATTGTGGCTGAAGTTTGGTGGGAAATCTGAAATTAAATTACATTCAGATGTTGGTAGCACTGTTGCCTCGCAGCAAGAAGGTTGCCGGTTCGCGTCCCGGTGGGGGCACCAGAATCTTTCTGTGTGGAGTTTGCATGTTCTCCCCGTGCAGCGTGGGTTCTCTCCGGGTTCTCCAGCTTCCTCCCACACAGTCCAAAAACATGTTGAGGTTAATTGGTGATTCTAAATTGTCCGCAGCTCTGAATGTGAGTGTGCTTGGTTGTCTGTCTCTAAGTGTAGCCCTGTGATAGACTGGTGACCTGTCCAGGTGTCTCCTGCCTCCAGCCCCCCACGACCCTAGTGAGGATTAAGCGGTGTATAGATAATGGATGGATGGTTCATGTCTGTTGGACTTCACACCTGACCACACCCATCATTACCATAAAGGTGTGGTCCGCTGTGATCGCACCCAACTTCAGTGTAGCTTTGCACAATCCCCCAACTGCTCAATGCTAAATGGCAGCAGCAGCAGCAGCAGGACTTTCAGCCAGAGCCTGAAAAACATGCTGGCTTGTACTGAGGAGACCTTTCAGACGATGTGAGGTCCCGCTGCAGAAACAAAGCTATCAGTGTCAGGAAAAACTCGGCCGTGTAACACATCACAAGTGTTTTGGTGTCAGTTCCTCAGTTTCAAACACCAGATGCTTCTTTCTAGACTTTGCACAGCTTTCAACAATCAGTGATCCATTTTACAAACAACAGCTGCCAGTTTGTACACCAGCAGCAGCCACAGAAGACCAGATTGAAATGCAGCCAAAAGACTTGTGTTTTTGAGTGATAGCCACTGCTTTAATCTGAAAATCTGACAACTGCTGCTCCCGTTCGTCTCAGCCGTGGGTAGTGCTATCAAAACCTGAGGGATGTCATCGCTAAACAATATTTATTTTAGTTACAATTATGTCCTAAATCATAATGCTTTCCAACTGAATTGATTAAAGATAGAAAATCAACTCCATAATACTCATGTAGACGGCCGTTAAAGCTGCAGGATTTTGTGTAATTAGAACATTTGTCAGATTATTTAGATTCAGTAAGTGTTTGTAGAATAATTAGACAAACCACTGACACTATGGTCTCCATGCTTTGCCTTTAATCTGTCTGCTGTGACTTTCTTGAGGCAAGTCAGCAGCACGTTCTGAGTGTCTCATGCAGTGAATTTACATTAGCACATTTGGTTTCAGACCCCTAAGTCACCACCCACAGCTGTGAACCGGCCAATCAGAGCTTCTCAGGCAGGATTGAAATGATAATGTTATCTTCCTAGATACGCAGCCGAAGGTGGCTGATAAAGACTAAAGACTTGCAGCAAGTTTCTGTTAAAGAAAAGACTTTTATCAGCGTGAAAAAAATGTTAAATGCTTCAGTGACTATACCGCAGCTTCTCAATCCATAGAAAATGATGTTGGCATGACACGAGTCACTCGCTTCTGATTATCCAGAGATGAAAATAAATAAATAAATAAAAAATAACCCACAAGAAACTGGCTAAAGTCTCTCTCCGATAATTGATTAAACCCATAAAAACTCATCTCTGTGTATCAAAGTCACATAATTAGAAGGTTGTTTTTTTTTTTTTCCATGAAAATAATCTGTTCCTGCCTTAAAATGGATTTAATGTAAGTCTACACCACTGTTTTCTTTACAACAGGGGTGTCCAATCCTGGTCCTCGAGGGCCACAGTCCTGCATGTTTCAGATGCTTCCCTCTTCCAACACACCTGATTCAAATGATCAGGGTCATCATCAAGCTCCGCAGAAGCCTGATAACGATCCTGATGAAGAGGGAAACATCTAAAACATGCAGGATTGTGGCCCTCGAGGACCAGGATTGGACACCCCTGCTTTACAACATGCAGATCTATGAAGTCCACTCGAGCACACCGGCTCACCTACAACTCTACATTCTGTAAAGCTACTCTATGCTACACAATGGCAGCTTGGATTGGGCATGTTTGGATGGAAAAACAGATTCTGAGGGAAAATAATGATGCAGAAAGTTCCTGCAAGTTGACAGGATTGGGGCTTAAAGTTTGTGACATATGAAACTTTGGAAGTGTGAACGTGTGTTTTTGACACTGTCATTGATTTACTGCAGCTCTAAGTGAATATGCCCATGGTGCTGACTGCTTATTTCGCTCATAATATGTCTTCCAGCGCATAAAAACCACCATTCCAGCGCATAAAAACCACCATATGGACCTGTTAACTCGATCAAAAACTTGATCTTCACTGTATGGGGACTTTGTTTAAACATTGTGAACGATGAATGAATTCAGTTAAATAAAGTTGCAATTCAGTTGATTTTCAGGTTGTAGTTTTACATTAAAATTAGTGGCACAGAATAGTATAATGTAGACCTTACATTATATCTGTAAGGTCACATAAAATGGCAAATGTGAAATCTTCACATTCATGATAATGTTGCCTATAGCAACAGGGGAGACTTAAGCTCCGCCCACAGGTAACCAAAACCCCTCAAAACCAGCCATCGTCCATCCAATCTACTTCAAATTGGATACCACTCTTCTCCAGCTCCCCAGCAATAAACTCGCCAAGTTTGAAGTGGATCAGATATATGGTTGTTGAGATATGCATAAAACACTGAATGACAAACAGATTTGTTAGTAAAAATGTGGACAGAAAGATATAATACGTTGTTAAACCGATGCTACTGGAATAAAGGCCAGCTGCAGCCCTCTTGAGGCTTGAAATGCAGCTGTGAAACATCACCAAAGTGTTAACTGAGGTAACGGCGAGGCCGGTTGAACCAAAGCGGGTAAATCAAAAAGGTAAAATGACAGACAACAAAGCAACTTCTGCAACACCTTCGAGGTCACAGATTGGTTTGTTCGGGCTTGAATTTCTTTCAGCTACGAGGAAAAATGAAGCGAAAATGGATGGCACGCCGCAGAGGTTACGAACAGGACACACAATGTTGCAAGTATATATGTTACTTTATGTGCTTTTCACCCTCTGATCCACTTCAAAGCCCTTCATGAATCATATAATTTATGTGTCTCTGGACTGGGCTCGTAGTTCTCCGAATCCTCAAAGCAGCATGTGAATCATCTGTGTTTTTCTTTAGAACTGTATTTCTCACTCCCAGCAGATGATAAAGTACTCTGGGCATGGGATCTCCACTCTGCCCCTCTCTGTGGGGTTTCTCCACATTGAACCCAATTAGTTTTTCTCCCCCCAGACCCACCTTCACCAGGTAACAGACTCTTATCTAACAGCACCGCAGCGAAACGAGGTTCATTAGTCCTAATTGTTTGTGCTTCGTCTCCACTTTTAAAGCCCGTCTGCTTTTCTTAACAAGGTCAATAACTCGCAGCTCCACGCACAAACATGGCCGTCGCTGCAAACGCACTTCAAAAATCCTGCTCTCTGCGTCCTGTAACTTTTCACACCCACGCACCCGGCGGCTCAGCCGATCCACATAAAAACACCATTATTATCCAGCTGTGCTATTCTCTCCCGAACTGGATTGCAGCTTTTAAGATGGAAAAGAGAGGCTGATTATTTGGAGATGAGCAAACGCTGGCTGCGGAGAGCAGCAGCAGCTAACCCAGGATGGGGGGTTCTACTCTGAATGCTAATGCGACGCTGGAGAATGGGCAAACAGGCCTATTGAAATGCAGAGTTCACGTGTTTTCTTAGGGTAATATTGGGGCAATGTTGAAACAGCCCGCATTATGAGAGTGAAAGGTCAATTTGACGTTAGTCAGCAGGAAGAGTGAGAATAGCTGACTATAAGGAATTGTTGCATTTTCTGCCTGAGTGAGTGACTCCTTATGAATATGTATTCCACGGCGACACAAAGATGTTTGGGCTTGGGTACCTATACAAGTCATAGGGGTCATCAAACAGTGCATATAAATTAAAATAGCAATGTAATTCAGGTGCTTGGGAGTGTACGGTCGCCACAGTCCAGTCCAATTTTTACCAAGCTGGATGCTGGAATTCCTCCGCCGCGGAGAAAAGCCTGAGACATGTCATGTCGTTCAAAGCTCATTCATGTCTAATTACCATGGCACTGGACCATTTTCTTACCTTTTGTTGGCCCATTGAGAGGAGCGCCGGGCCCACGCTCTCCCATGCTCGCAGCCCCAGCATCCTCCTCCTCCTCCTCCTGCTCCTCAGCCACCCCTGGCTTCCCCTGCAGCAGCCGCAGTCACACAGAATGAATGGAGCCGCCTGAGGAATGCGGACACAAAAGGAGGAATGTCATTTTGCCGAGTGCTACCCCCCAAACCAAAGGGACATGCGAGCACACACACACACACACACACACACACACACACACACACACAGCACAGCATAACGCACACACACACACAACACAGAAGCATCCCACAAGTCCAGGCATGTTTAAACGCAGGGGGTAAAATTCTTATTATGACTTCTTTTCTAAATTAGGGGATCTGCAGACGGCGTGCAAGCATTTAGCAAAAAGTTAAGAAACAACTAGAGATTCTCTTTACAGGAGTCTTTTGATTAAATTCTTTCTTCTTGCCTCAAGTGTGTTTTATATTCTTGTTTTTTTTCAAGATGCATATTTTTGATTTGTCTGTGTTGTTTTGACATGTTTCTGCAAAATTAAAAGACACCAAACAGGATTTTATCGTACGTATACAATGACAATAAAGCGTCTTATCTGCCTTTATGAAATGCAATATGGTGTTTTTTTTAGATTTAAACATGTCTATGTATCTGCAATTTCTGACATTTATTTGACTCAATCTTTTCAGGGCACAATCGACAAAAAAAATAAATGAGCAGAAGTTGTGGGTAACCAATGCAGATTTTTAAATTCAGGCCACACAACAAGATGTTCAAGAGGGTTAGGCGTAAAAAAATGTAATGTATTTATCTTTAATTCGCATTGATCATCCTGTTTTGTGAAACTAAAGTCACTCCCTAATCTGTTTGGTTCATCTGTTATTAATTGCGATGCTTATCTCTGTCCACTTGTATGGCTCGACCCTGCTCTTTCAGACTGTTTACTGTAGTTTACAACTCTGGACGCGCTGTATGACAGCCAGCTGCATCTTAGAAACACAACTGTGCCGTTGCTAGAAAGGACGCGGGCTGACCCGTGTTTGTGTAAGGAGCAAGCCTGTAATTTCTGACTCCATGGTTACTGAAACACTGGCCAGTTTTTGATCCTGGGGTTTTAAACAAACTGAGATGTCCTGGACGATAAAGGCTGAGCAGAAATAACACATCTGGGCAAAAACATCTTCTGAGTCGTGTGCGTTCCTTTCAATAACAGCATTTTGTAAACTGTTTTTGAGATTAAAAAAATGACTGGAATGCATTACAAATATGTAGTGACTCTCAACATTGACCCATAAAGGTCCTCAAGACATAAACGTTGTCATCTGCAAGGTCTGGCTAGAACTTGTGACCTCCTGGGCTGTACGCACAAGAGACTATGCAAGACTTTCAATCATCCAAACCCTTTATAATTCATCATTAAACAATTTGAAAGTCATTTTTCAGATTCGGGAGCGGCTTTGGTTTGTATGTTTTCCATTGATGTAGACACAGTGGAACTTCTCCAGATATCCTGCGCTCACCACACCTCAGGAATGATCATGTTAACACGGTGCTGCAGCCCAGTCTGGAACAAGCTGTTGTTTTCTCTAGAAAAGTGTAAAGTCACAGCCACAGGAGCTCCATGTGTTTGTCTGATATGAGGGGATGCAGAAACAATAAATTGGCCTTAAGGGTTCTTGGGGTGGTTCCAAATCATGGGAAAATGGTTTATCGTCACCATAGGCTATGTATAAAAGACAGATGTGGCAATTGTGAAGTCACTAATTTGTTTGGTACTGTTTTGAAGCCTCGAGTTTGGAATTTGGTCTTTTAAAACTGGATACAAGTGACGGAGAACTCGAGGACACAACGCTCAAAACAAACCCACGCCCTAAAACGAACCCCGCTTTATCTGGTAAAGTGAGTTTTATTTTTTGTGAGGTTATCACAGCCTAAAAAATTGTGTAGAGACGTTTGATATGGCCACCATGACATCACACAGTTGACCGTCACCATCTTGGTCTTTGGAAAGCAGATGTGATGTTCTGACCGATTTTATCGCCTGTTTTACTCTAAATAAGAGCGTACTTTACTAAACGAACATCATGCTGTACTAAAAGAGACTTGAAACTAGCGAGTGGGACCGTAAACTACTTGTCACTGAGTTAACAGATCAAGTTAAAAGTTGGGTCATTTTCTCTTAAGCTTACATACAGTCTTTACAACCAGAGGAGTCGCCCCCTGCTGGCGGGTTTTAGGCACTTCTACGTTGGCTTTAACTTCTTACACTGCTTTTACGTCCATTGTTTACATGCAGTTTATGACTATCGCAAATTGTTCCACTCAGTTTATGTTAAGACTGAATAATACGGTGGCCCAGAAGTGTCACAACAAAACAAAAGCCACAACACAACACAACAAGCCACAACGGTACAAAATTAACCACAACACTACAAAATAACCCTGAAGTTATACTGTGAAGTGCGCAACGCCACATAAAGTGGGCAGAAGCCGGAGATTGATGGACACTATTTGCCATCAGTATTTTATTTACTTTCGAATTGTTTCCATTAATCTCCGGCTTCTGCCCGCTTCGTGTGGCATTGCGCACTTCAACGTATATCTTCCAGGTTAAAAAAAACAACTTCCGTTGCAGCCGTTGTGTTGTGTTGGGGCTTATTTTGTAGTGTTGTGGCTTATTGTGTTGTGCTGTGGCTTTTGTTTTGTTGTGACACTTCTGGGCCACCGTAGAATAATAAGCACGAGTGAAGCCCATGGACTGAGCATAGATTGCATATAAACGACAGATTTAGCCACTATGATGTCATTCATTCGTTACTAAAATTACTACCAGCCTCGAGTTTGGAGTTCAGCAGTTGCCATCTTGGTCTTTTAAAGACAGAGATGATGAGCGACAGGTGAGGGCGATTCATTTTATTGTCTATTTTACTCTAATTTGAACCATAATTTAAAAAAACGAACATCATAGTGTACTGGAAGAGAGGTAAAGCTCACGACTGGGACCGTAAGCTCAATAGGAAAATGTTTACTGAGGTAACAAACCAATGAGAAGTCGGTCATTTGTTCATCAACTTCTATACAAGCTTTGCAACCAGAGGAGTCGCCCCCTGCTGTTTGCTAGAAAGAATGCAGGTTTAAGGCACTTCTGCACTGGCTTGAACTTCACACTATCACTAATTGTCTCACTTATTTTATGTTAGGACTGAGTGACAAGCATGACTGAAGCCTGTTTGGTTCAAGGGATTTTTATTATTTTTTTAATCATAGGTGACCTCCACACCAACAGTAGACACAGATAAGAGAGAAACGGCAAACCCCAGGTCATCCAGGGGTCTCTGTGATTTCCAGGACTTGTGTTTATTTCTCTAAGCCATGTGTTCCAGTGATAATCAGTCAGACCTTCATGTTGGCTCCACCCTGAGCTCCGGTCCTGATTTTCAAGCCCGGTTGGCACCAAGTCTAGACATTATGGAAGGAGAGGGATCCAGGGTCTGAAGTCCCTGCTCCACGCTCCACCCCTGGTGTTCCTGATCTCCAGGTCTTTGTCCCCGGAACTTGCGCTCGCTCCTGGGTGTCCACCAGGGCTCTTTTTTTTTTCTCGCTCGCATCTGGATTCCAGTTACGACTTTAGCGAACAGTCCGGCGTCCTGTCCCCACACCAAACCACGGCCGCGCTCACTTTTCTGGAAAGAAAGCAAGAAAAAAAAAAAGGAAGACAAGAAGAAAAGCAACTTCTCTCCCGGCAACTTCCCCGCAGCCTGCCTGTCCTCCCGTGGTTCCAGCTTTTCGTCGAAGCAGCAGCAGCAGCAGCAGTGCGGCTCTGAGATTGTTGCCTCCAGTCTGAGAGAAAAGTTTTTGCGCGTTTGAAAAGTGCAGTTTTTGAAGCACCTCCGTGTTTTTGTCGCTTGAGTCTGGAACTCAGCATTTAGTGTAGCTGTTAGACGGACGTGTTTCGGTGTTTTTTGGGGGTTTTTTGTGTGTGTCCACTCGGAGCGGGTTTCGAGTGCTGGCCTCACAGCTGCTGTGAATGAAGTATCTGTTGAGCCGAAGGAACCAGCGCGTCTCCATGAGGAAGCTCAGCGTGGGAGTCGCTCAAACTTCGTCCTAGCTCACGCGCACCTGAACCAACTTAGATATATTTTTTACCTTCTTGCGCAGGTAGTTTTTTTTTTTTTTTTTAGTTTTAAAGTACAGAAAATGAAGACGCTCTTGGTGCTGTGTGTGGTTTGCACGCTGGTTGTGTTGTCCGCGTCGGGGACTGCGGAGCAAAAGTTGAAGAACTGTAACGAAGTTCGTGCTGCTTACAGCTCCAAAGGCTTCAACGTCAACGATGTGCCCAACAAAGGAATCAACGGTGAGTGCGTTTGTTATCTGCTTTTACACTCGTTTTTTTACCCTTTAACAGGGACCGTGGACCCCCACCCCCCCCAGTGGGTCTTGGAGAGGTCCGCCGGTGCTCAAAAAAAACAGGCTAACTTTTTAAGCTAGCAAAGTTAGCTTAAAGTCATGCTAGGGATAGTGTAAGCAAACAAAGTTAGCTTAAATTTTTCTAAGTGGCATTTTCCCTGCATTTATAGTGTGGGTTTTTAATAGCAATGTGTCTCAAAGTAAGGACCGTGGACCCCCCGTGGGTCTTGGAGAGGTCCCCCGGTGGTCAGAAAATTGGCTAATGATAGTTTTTTAAGCTAACAAGGTTAGTTTAAATTCATGCTGCGAATCGTGTAAGAGATTAAAGCAAAGTTAGCTTAATTTTTTTGCAAGTGACATTTTTCTCCCAGATTTGTAGTGTGGGTTTGGGCTGGTTTTACGCTCTTGATAGCAGTGAGTCTAAAAGTGTGGACCGTGGACCCTCTGTGAGTCACGGAGAGGTCTCCTGCTGGTCCTAAAGCAGGCAAACCAGAACTTTTTGAAGCTAGCAAAGTTAGCTTAAATTCTTGCTACTGACATTTGGAGTGTTTGTTTATAAAGGAGACTGCCTTTGGTCTGTCTTCATGCTCTTAATAGCAGCAGGTCCTAAAGTAGGGACATTGGACCCCCCTTTGGGTTTTGCAGAGGTCCCCTTGTGGTCAAAAACAGGCTAACGGTAACTTTTTAAGCTAGCAATGTTATCTTAAATTCATGCTAGGCACAGTGTAAGCAAAGTTATCTTAAAGTTTTTGCAAGTGGCATTTTCCCCCAGATTTGTCGTGTGGGTTTGGTCTAATTTAACGCTCTTAATAGCAGTGTGTCTCAAAGTAGGGACCGTGGACCCCCTTGTGGGTCTTTGAGAGGTCTCTTAGTGGCCCAAAGGCAGGTTAATGTAAACTTTTTAGGCTAGTAATGTTAGCTTAAATTCATTCTGTTAGCTTACAGAGGAGACAGTCAGCTAGCATTTTATGATACATTTTGAAAAAAAAGTTTTCCATGCAGTTTTCTGAAACAGAAAATGTTCTCAAATGTAGTGAAGTATAACAGTTCCTCACTTTAAATTATCGAGCTCTCACTTCAGACATGGAGACATGCTTTATTCATACAGGCATGCCTTAAAAAGTTATAGCACATTAGGTTTGGAGCAAGAAGCAGTGAAACATTTGGGGATGCATTCTTCAGACATACAGTATGTGCTGCTGGCAACACTTCACTGCTCCACTGGGCAAACACAGGCTTCATTTAGGAAATACTTGTAGGTAATTCATAACAATAAAGAGGTATAATCAACACACAGGCTCCGCTCCCCACTGAAAGAAGCCAGGCCCGTGTTTATTTCCAGGCTTCCTCAGGAGAGACTCCTATGGTTGTGAAGTGTAGGCAGCCGGCAGTGATTCAGTAAACAGGCCTGTTCATTGTGAGCAAGACCTATGGATTTTTTTTCCCCTCTTTCTCTCACTTTGTCAGTCTGATTTTGTGCTTTAAGCATGTTGAATTCTACATCTATCTTTTTTGCGCGACGAGATTTAACGCACCGTTGACACTTGCTTGGAAATGACTCATGTGTTAATAATCACAGAGGCGAGAAGGCAAATCATTGTTGCTAATCATGAGATAAACCCAAGTAATGGAAACTTATGCACGGGGGTGCTTTTACAGTAAAGGCTGGAGGAGAGCAGGGGAGAAGGGGGTTGGGGCTTGAAATTCCACTGTGCCCTGCATACTTTAACCATCCCCACCCCCTCTCATTTCCTTTTAATTTTTATGGTGGTTAAAATAAATGTGCAATATGTATTCAAAGCCCTAAATTCAGCCCAGTTTGGTTGCCTGTTTTGCAGCAGCTTCAGCATGAAGTTCTTGTATAAAATTACAGAAGTAGGTCATCCAGGCAGAGCTACTGTCTTTGTTTTTTTTTTGAAAATAATTTTTGACTTTATAATTAAGATAATCAGTATTTTTGCCACAACTGAAAGCCATTTTCTCCTTCACATATTTACTCACATTTTCATTTTCCCAGCATTATTTCTTCTGACGAGGGTGACCAATCTGTATGTGATCTCTGTTTTTTTTGTACTAAAAGCATTCTTGCGTTTTCCTTTCCATAGTCAGAGGATGTGTGGACTGTTTTTTTTGTTGTTACTGAGGCTGCAACTGCTCATTAGAATTGGATTTGGGTGTAACTGTCAAAGAGCTAAATTTTTCCCTCTGCGTTTCACATCAAGTCCTACAGGTCCTTTTGTTTTCTGCCTGTATGTCTTTGTGATGCTAAATGTCATTTAGAGGAGCCCAACATGTCCGCTGTGGTCAGATTTAATTGTCTTGCATCTCTGAGTTCTGAAAGACGGATGTGAACGAGGGCAGTGTTATTGTGCAGGTTTGTGTGCTATAAACACACGTGCCTTCTCCTTACAATAGGTTTCTGGTGTATGTCCTGGCTTCAGGCAGGGCCGACCTCGCTGGGCAGCTCTTTGTCATTGATAGAGACGGAGATAATTGATCCATAGAAAAGCAACAAGGTCTACTGTCATTAAAGAGAGCATCGGGGGTCCCCACATACAAAAGCCCCGTGCTCTTGAGATGTTTCACGTTGTTGGGAAGAAATGACTCCAGATGTGCAGTCTGGAGGAACTTCAGTGATGCTTGTCAAATCTTCACTTCTACACTTTGTTGTGGATCAAACTCTAAACTTTAATTCTGTCCTAAATCGAACACAGCCCGCGTTTAGATGGACTGGGTGTGAGGTTGCAGAAGGGTTAGCCCATTAATTACATGCACATGTGTAGCACATCATTTATCTCAACAGTTATTAGTGGAGAAAATGGTTCACTGGAAACTGTTGTTTCATTAATCAATCAACCTGTTTGTAGAAGGTAAAATATTCAACATAAATAAAACAATAGTGTTGTTACAAATCAGACCAGAGAGTTTGATCAGAGTATTGCTACTGGAATAGATATTCTTTTGCTTCAACTCTAACTGTGCTGAGTTATGTGGCAAAGAAGAAACACTTTAAAAACTAACACAGCCTTCTCCAGTTGTCACATACTTAGTTTCTGAAATGTTTACCTCCTTTGATACATTCTCCATAAATCACATTTGCAGAATAAGAGTCTTATTTGAAACGCAGGATTTAAAACTTGCCTTTTTTTTTTTTTTTTTAACCGCGAACATTCTGTGTTATTGTTGGCAGTGTGGAGATAAGAATGTTTGTTACCAGTGAAACTACTGACGGGCTCAGCTGAAGCCAGACTTGAGATTCAATAAAGATGTTTTAATGCAGTAAAAGTGAAATGGAAACCCTGATTGCTTCGGCGTAGACAGAATTAAGTGATACAGAGGAACAGCAGGCTCAGTTGGTAAATTCCTCGCTGATCCCATGGTATCAATCGTTTACCACTCACGTGGAAGCAGTTCAAGACCTCGTTTCCAAGTTTCTCGTCTGCTGGATGATGATTTGTTTAGGGTCTGTGGTTGAATACTTCGCTTAAATGGGAAATAAATTACGCTGACAGTCCTAATGATGACGGATAAATCATGTTGGTGATCATACAGAATGTAAATGGTGGTTTCGCTGTCTGAATCTATCTGCTAATAGTAGGTGCTGTTTATCTTTCTTAATAGTATTTGATACTGTGATAAACGATAAAAGGTATCTGCTGCACAGCTGTGACAAGGAGCAGCTGACAGTTAACTCTGACCAGACGGGTTCCTGTCATGTCAGAGGCTACTCTGGATGCTACGCTTTATAAAAAAAATAAAAAAAAGCAATCTGTTTTGGTTTACTCTGGCTGTCAGGCTTGATATCATGCTTCAGGTATGGGACAAGGGGAGAGATCAAAGACAAGAAGGTCTTTTCCCCTCCCTTCAGCACGTGGAACATCCCCTGTTCATAATCAGCTCAGAGCAATATGACTGAAACTTAAAGCGTGCATGACCTCAGCGCATTGGCCTCTCGGTGAGCTTGAGACGTTTCTGCAGTCTCACATTGTGAGGGCTCTTTCCCCCGTAGCCAGTGGCAGCATGCCCTGCATCATTACGGTTTGGGAAATAACAGGTTGTGCTATTGCTATGGGAGTCTGCAGATAAGATAAGAGCAGGGAACTGGGGCATACTCAGTCTGTGAGAGTTTTTATAGTTCAAAGACCAATATTTGAGTGGCTCTGCTCGGTGCAACAGCAGCTCAGTATTTTGACACTTGTAATAATTAACTATTAAACTATCAGCCAAGCGTCTCACTCGCCTCTCAAGGTCAGTCATAAAACAAACCGTTTTGCTTTAACCATTTGCAAGTCTTATCATTAACAAACACATCAGCGCTGCACTTTGTAATGAAGTCTGATTGCTTATTGAAAATCAGAGAGCTACTGCCTGTGAGCTGGTTTAATGCGCTGCCAAAAGGGAAGCCCTCGTAGCAGATGTGTGGCAGCTCGTAGAGACTCAAATGTTAGATTGTATAATTGGCGTACATTCTGATTATTTACTCTTATCTGTCCATGTTTTACATTCCCAGCTCCCTCCCGTCGGAGCAGTCTGGGATGTCAGGAGTCCAAAACCTGGTTGTTTATTGTTGGAAGGTTGTGCATGAAAGCCGCGACTGACATTCCAATAGAAATAGAAATGGTTTATGCTGTAGCTCTGACTGAATTACACATCACCAGTCAATTTTACAGTTCTTAGAAAAACCACAATGGCTTTAAAGGTATTGCTTGTGTAATCACGGCTGATATTGAGATCTTTATAAACAGGCCCAGAGTCTTTCCTGAAGGCAAATAATGTATGGAACGGCTAGAACAATGAAAGATAGTGTTGAAAATGTGGCTCTTTAAAAAGACAACTGTTTATCTGAATTTGTCCTCATTTAATAAGCAGCATACATTTTTTGTGTGTTTGACTTTGCACTTAGAAAACATTGTAAATGTAAGTTTGTACATTGGAATGTAGGCCAGT